AAAATACAGTTACAAGTGGCTTCCAATTTTTTTTTGTTGTTAACAATATGGAAAAGAATGAACTACTACTACTTTATAAATAAAATGAAAATAAATAAATAAAAACAATAATAAATTTTCTCCCCAATAGAAATATCGGGGAGGAAAACTGTTTAAAAAAATATATATATAAAATTGGTCTTTGTGTTGTGTGTATGTGTGTGTATATTATTTTATAACTTAGTAGTTAAACCGGTGTTACTGGGGTACTAGTCGCCTCAGACTTTTGCATGCCTTCACAGTCGGCCTAATCCACTAGCAACCTTTGTAAAGGGGGGTAGAAGCTTTCTCTGTACACGTTGGACGTGTCGGGACGGTTCCATTATAATACAGCTAGGTCTGGTTTATAACCTTGAATACTGGATGGGAAGTTTTCGCGTTTTAAAAATCGAAATTTATAACCTAACAACACCGCTTTAGTTTATTTTTTTTATCCTTGTTTAATTTAACGTAAAAAATAAAAACGGTTACGAAAACCTGAATTTAAAAAAAATCATTTAACATAAAAACGTGACGCATCGCGGAAGATTTTTATTTTTTTAATATATTTTTTCCTGTGTTAGAAAATACCTCTTTTTNAAATTTAAAAAAATTAAAGTGAAATTACCGAGTGGAAGATACCGAAAAAGTGTTTTAAACATCCTCGTAAACATCCTGAGATTCGAAGTTGGGGTGAGAAGGTTATCACACTCGACCGACACCATTTTATTTTTTTAATATATTTTTTCCTGTGTTAGAAAATACCTCTTTTTAAAAAGTGGTTCCTCCCGTCTCCGTGGTTACGTGGTATCAGCTGAAAACTCTCTGTAAAGACCTGTTGAGTTAAATACGTGTATCGACATATTACTTTTTTTTTTTTTTTTTTTTTAGTCTCTTTCAGTCGGGTAATTTAAAGAGACTTAAATCATTTGAAGACGTATCTAGTAAGCTTTAACTTTCATTCACACAGTTTTTTTTCCTCCTCCTCCTCGTCCTCCCCTACTTCTTGCAACCGAACGTCTAAAAACCTGTTTAGTTCTAACACTTTGCTGTGTCTAAATTATGCATTTTTAGAATTTGGTCGATGATGATCACTCAGCAGAACCGTAGATAAGACCTGTTTTTTAGTATTTAAAATGTGTTTAAACACGTGGAAGCGATTTAAATACAATTACTTAAATAATAATAATAATAATAATTTTTAATGGGAATTCCAATGATTAGCGTATACATTACTAAACTAAAGAGATTAAACGAATGATAATTGAAAGTAGTTAAATTAATGAATTATGTTAGGCCATGTGCAAAATTTAATAGGGCTTAATTAGAAGAAAATTTAAATAAACCAATGGCAATTAAGATATTTGATAAATGGCATTAAGTAGAGTCCAATATTAATTGGGTTGGCGCTTTAATTATTATTGTGTTTTATTTTTTTTTTAATTTATTAAAAATAAAATCGGAATTACCAATCGTAAAGATAGGATTGAAGCGATGTAAAATTCCTTATCTGATGAGGCATTCTTCTAAAATTTCATACGTTTTACTTAATAATATACACTGAAATTTTCTAATTTCGATTAAGTTTTAATTCAAATTTATTAATTATCAATGCTTATTCGAGTGTATTATCTCGAGAACAATTTTTATTTATTTTATCATAAAATATTACAATAAAAATTTTATAATTAACGTTATAATTTTTCTCNTTTAGAATTTGGTCGATGATGATCACTCAGCAGAACCGTAGATAAGACCTGTTTTTTAGTATTTAAAATGTGTTTAAACACGTGGAAGCGATTTAAATACAGGCTGATTGACACGAATTTTGAACACGTTGACAGCTTAACACTATTAAAAAAAAAAAAAGAGAGAGAGAGAGAGGAGAAATGTTTTAAAATTTGATTAAGTCGGGGTGTAAAGGCGTAATTGTTGTGGTTATTGTATGTAATTGTATCTATTAAGTCGAGGCGTGTCGTGCCGAATCGAAATATCTTAACTCGTTATTGCGTATTTATATATATATATATATTCGATATCGCTGTATAAATAAGCTGAATAAATATATATATGTTAATTCGTTATATCGTCCCGGGGATGTTATTTCCGTGCTCCGCCCTATACACAAAAGATGGTGATTTTGAGGGGATTTAGAGGATTTAAAAGCCCCGGGGTTCTCTAACTATCAGTAGATAGTACAGGCTTATATAAATACTGTACAACCACTTTGAAGAGAGAGAGATTTTTATCTTATTTCCAGGAAAATTCACTTATGTATAAAACTCGGTGGTTATTTACAAGGCATGCAATTTTTCTATTCTATATAAGGAGAGAAGGTGGTTATGATTCATGCACTTTTCAATGTCTTTATTCATAGGAAAGTGTATAAAAATAGATATTTTGGTTTTTATTCTGTGTTTTTTTTTTTTTATTTAATACTAAAACCCTTCAGAATTTCTTATTATTATTATAAAATTTCTATTATTCGATCCATAATAATAATAATACACGTCGCTAAACTACAGCTACGATTTTGGCTATGATTCAAAAAATTCCTACTATTGTTACGTATGAAGCATGAACGTATTTTAATGAATAAAAATCTTTTATAAAATTTAATTCCGTTTAAAAATATATATACTGTATTTTATTCCTTTTGTAATCCAGTTACAAGTACAATTATCTTGTTTTTAGACCACAAATTATATGCGAGTCATTCGTTAGAGAGAGAGAGAGAGAGAGAGATTTGGTAGTGAAACTGTTGTCCTAGATTTGTGTTAATCACCCCCACTTCTACTGTTTTGACTCAGTAGCCTTGCTAAAATTCGCAATTTTCTACGTGGTAAAAATTGTTTTATAACGTAAAACCATGCGTAATTTAAGTACTGGTCGAGGACAAAGTCGCTGAAACGTTTAACCAGTCGGAGTGAGTGAACGGTCGCAAAACATCTGCCAGTAATTACCTTGTTAATGTGTGTAAATACAGTACTTACTTTATAAATAAAAGTTGAATAAGTGCATAAATTTATCCCACTTTTTTTTTTCGTTCATCTATCGAATGCCTCCACCCTTAAAAAAAATAAAAGAGGAATCGATTATTAAATTTGGTAGAGGACACACACGTGTCGGTATATACTTAACCCCTTGTTTCTAATCTTTTTTAAATGTGACCGATCTATGTATAATGAAACTGCCGGTCACGTGTCCGAAAATATATACCTTTTTTTTTTTTTACCTGTCTATTTACGTCGGGTGCTATTTCCGTATAAAACTTAAGTGGACTAAATTAGAATTTACAACAGTCTGATTGTTTTTTTTTTTAATATTTTAATCGTTGTTATTTTGTAACGGGCGTATTTAATGTGTTAAAATATAGAAGAATGAGAAGGGTGGAAGATCATTTTACGCTGTGTACTAGCGAAAATCGATGCAGTACTCTCCCTTTCGTGCTCGTAGATTCAGGTTGTCGGGCTGCTGCAGGTCTGCATACGAGGTCAATGCACCCTATAGGGAGAGTGGATTAGATATTAATACTTTTATATTCTCTTCTTTTTGTTCTGTTTTCGAAAAACTTCTTTTAGCGGTCGGATAAGTAATCGCATTTCCGGTCCCGTTTGACTTCCTGTTTGCACTTCGTTAGATAATAACCGAAAAAAAAATTATTTTTTAAATACTTTAAAAAATATATTATTAAATTTAAAAAAATTAAAGTGAAATTACCGAGTGGAAGATACCGAAAAAGTGTTTTAAACATCCTCGTAAACATCCTGAGATTCGAAGTTGGGGTGAGAAGGTTATCACACTCGACCGACACCATAAGTTGTATACGGATGGAATTATCCAGATAAGAATTGTGTACTGGCAAAAATTTACGTACAGAACATGTAAATCAGGCTGTTTTCTTTGAAATTTTTGACCAAGCTGACGAGGTTAGTGGGTCAAGCGAGGATCAAACGTGACGAAGGTAGCACGTCCCGAGTGACACGTTGTGCAAGGAGTTGTGTAGTAGTAACACTATACACGTTTACTCGAATAATCGGTATACTACGTATCTTACTAATATAGAATTTATAAGAGAATTGCGAAAGATGTTTTCCCGTAAGCATTTTTTTATCAGTTAAACTGTTATTTATTTATTTCTTTTTTTTTGTCTGATATTTTCAGACAATATCTTGTCGATTGTGACTGTTAGAAGATAGGGTTATCTCCCTCACTTCATTTATTGCTTAACTACGCTCCGTGTGCAATATTTAGATAGCGAACTATCTGAAAGTGGAGATAAATTCACTAGGAGTGCATGCTCGTTGACCTTTTTATGGTATAAACAAGATTAGTTTTTAAAAAAACACGAAAGATATGTTCATGTTAATGTATGAAACATAGCTCACCTTGTATTCCTTTATGTTTTTTTAAACCGTGATTATAGTTTAACCTAGAAAATCGGGTGTAAAAAAGGGCGTTAATCAATCTCCCCACAAGGTGAGGGTGTGGTAAATATTCTGGGTGTAGTCCATAATCGCAGTTCAAGGTCTGGGACACGGTTATCTTTGGACAATGTCCTGATTTACTTATGGTCAATGGATTGAATTAACATTCTCTCTCTTTACTCGACACACGAAACTACTGATTACTCCCATTAACACCCCTACTATTGAACGGCGTGATTCATTCGTAACACTTTCAAACTTCTCGACAAATGTACCGAAACGAATTTATAAACGGTACTTTTTGTTCCACATTCATTGGTTTTAAAGCTTAACGGATAATATAACAATAAACAAAACGTACTGTTTAAACACCAGATAAAATTCTGTATACAAAAAAAATACTCCATTGGGAGGATAAAGTCTTTAAAGATATTACTAAATTCCGTATTTTAATGTGGCCGGAAATCCCTTTGTGAATTAACACCTGGTATACTGTGTTTGACCACATAGGAACTGTAAAGCGGAGGATGGGTGGCATTTCCTCGAAACATTCCTAAATCTTCAAAGGATGCATTCTACAACCTCAATCCAGCATATCCCCCAGTGTCCTTGACTAGTTTTCGGCCCATTTATAACAATCGTTGATGTCTCCGAACGTCAGCCAATCACGCTACGAGAATTTAAAAATTTGAAATTTGAAATAACGTATTAAAAAAAAACCAATCGTTTTCCTAGAAAGTTATTACGTAATAAACGGATTTTTTTATTTTTGTTCTCGTTGCGTTTTAAAATACAATTTCTTAAAATAAATGATGTTAATTAAATCAAAGCAGTTTTAACACGAATAAAATGCAAGAATGTGCAGTAAAAGTTACAGGATCCGGATTTTCTACATGAAAAATCCGTATAAAAACCTATCGTTTAGGTTAGTAGATAAGTATTAACAGGATTACCAGTTTGTTGCGGCTCTTGCACCATAAAAAAAATTGTTTTTATTGCCATAAAATTTCTGGTTTTCTAAAATTATTATTCATACCCCCGTTTATGCCGAAATTACGTGAAAAATAATAATAATTCCCTTCACCTAATCTTACTTATGTCCTAATCGTAATTACTCTATAATAGATAGGTCATTCGCATATGACTCATTTCATCCACCTTGATGAAATTTTGCTGATGGGGTGAAGGCTTCGGCCATTTTTTAACTCTGGCCTACATATCTAAAAGCATACAACACACATAACATAGTCAATTGATATTTAATTCGCACTTTCTCCTTTGGATTATGTAAATGACGTGTGTGTTTTCTTCGCTTTAGAGAACATTCTATATAAACTAACACCCGGGTTGGTTGACCCGTATCAATTAAGGTAGTGTGTTTCGTTCGGTCTTATTGTTCGATAGTGTTTTTTTTTTTTACACGCAGTTTTTGGGCTACTAAATTATTGTTACTAGTGTTTAGGTTTTCGTGGATATCCGCAGGAAACTGTATAGGGTATAACGCCCCTTATGGGGAAGTAGACAAGTGAGTTCAAGGCGTTCGGTGTCGATAACCTCTGGCGTCAGAGCGCGAAATCTAGGTCAGGTGTTGCGTCCGCAGGTGAAAAAAGACGGATCGACGTGCGACATTGACCCGGTAAGGGATGGAGAGAGTATTACGCATGCGTTGCTAGTACAAAAAGTAAAAATGTCCCCCAACCGGAGAGGGAAAAAATAGGCCAAGTGTTTTTTTCTTTTCTTCTTCTTCTTCTTCTTCTTCTTTTTAAGTAGCATTTTCTTTTTCAATATATATATAAATATATCTTACAGCGTGTTTAGTTCTTATTGACCCCCCGCTAATAACTGTAAAAGCTAATGTTGCGTGAATGTAATTCATCTTTTAATCGTTACAACAAGCATAAATACGCGTTACTTTGTATAATAATAAGAACATTTTCTATAGTTTATAACTTTAAAATGGGTTATTGAACTTTTGTAAAGAATGGCGACATTGGGCCTGGTCCCCTTCAAGCAGGTATTGGCCCTTCCTTTCTTAGAAACTGCCCGTTGTTTTCTATTGTTAACTGGAAAGTGTTTACGGTTTCTGAGGAACCGTAACACAAAAACTTATTGGAAAAAAGCCGAAATTCCCGTTAAAATTCGGGTTTATGCAAAATCATCGACGAGTCAACGAATGATTTTTCAAAACGTCATCCGCAGCTGGTGTGACGTTTCAACTGTCGTTTTAAAAATACGCTAACGATGGAAAATATTATAGAATAATACATCTTTTTTTTATACGTTCCCGTATTAAAGAAAACACATAAAAAATGCCGAGTTTCTTTTATTATTATTATTATTATTATTATTATTCATTCATTCGCATTAGTGACGCTGTAACGTGCATAAATGACATGCCTGACAACATTAAACTGGGAGACGAGGGCAAAGAGGGTAACAAAAAAGGGGGGGTGTCTGAGAGGTCGATGTCAACGACCCACGACGGACGAGATACAGTTATTTAGAGCCTACAGATATACAGTTATTTGGGTTATAGGTTGGGAAGAGCAAAGATCCGAGGGTTGACGGGAAACAATTAAGGCAAAAGTATTGAAGATACTGCCCTATATCTTTAACCACTGTTAAGGGGCCTCATAAATTCCCTTCAGCAATAGGTCTGCAGTTGTTAAGTGAAAGCAAACCTGTTTAACTTAGAGAAAACAAAGAGAAAATTCTGATATATATACACTCTCTAGACGAACACGTGCTTCTATATATATATATATTTTTTCTTTTTAAAATATAATTTAAAGCCATTTTGTTAAAAAGAATAAATGAAAGAGATTCATTGATGGATGGTTACACAGTTAAAGAGTTTCTTAATTGGTGTCAGATTCCGTTATTGCAACAGAATAACCGCCAAATATAGCTTCATCTGTTAATATCTGCCACCGAGCTGTAGCTATCCGGTAACAGAATTCTAATTAGAATTGAGTAGATGTTTATTATTATTATTATTTTTTTAATACGTATATTATTAATTTCATTAAAGTGCTGTTTTTATTAATAGCAAAATTTTTTTAAATACATTCTAGTTAATGGCTTTATTAATATAAATACTTTTATTCTTCACATGTCTGACCTCTTATAAACGTTCTTGATCCCTGCCTGCTTGGAAAACACTTTGCAATGAGCTTTCAACTTGGAAAACTTCCATCAAATTTGCTATTTTTGTTTTTGGCTTTCCAGTAAATCAACAAGGCATAAGGTCAATACAGTCGACTCCCCTATAACACTGTTGATTATTCCGTTTTATATGAATTCCATGTTGTACGAGTCACTTAGATTTTACAAATACGTGTGCCGAGCTGTGAACGGCTCACGTATTTGTAAAATCTAAGTGACTCGTACGACATGGAATTCATATAAAACGGAATAATCAACAGTGTTATAGGGGGGTCGACTGTAAATAATCATTTATGAACGTTTATAAACGTTTGATTTAATTGTATTCGTATTCAGTCGACAACTTAAAACGTTATCTCTGGAGGGATAATTATAAGCTTTAAAAATAGCAATAAAATCTCGACTTTTGTTTTTAAAAATACTAACAATTCATTGTTTTCTTTTGATAATTCTTTCTACTGATAATTGGGTCAGTTTACTTCTCGAAACATTTTTATCAATTTTATAATAGAGGCCACTTAAAGTACTAAGTGCCGCTCCTTTTACGTAATTGTTTAAACATTTGATTATCTCGTGAATCATTCTTAAAAACAATATTCAAAGTCTACACGATTCGAGACACGTCTAGAAAAACAGCAGAAAAATCTCCCTTACGTATCTTGCTGTATTATCATTTTTTTTTTTATTTATTTAAGTGTTAAAATTTTGGCAGTGTCATCAACATATAAGCAGGAATTTGTCGAGTTGTCATGTAAAAAAATAATAATAATTTTTCGAAAAAAAAATAGCATTGCAAAATTTTATCTTAAGTGTCCTTTGTCCATCCTTCAACTCTTTATAGAGGAAGAAAGGAAAGTGTGCCACACACATGTGTCGAATTTCGGACACATGCTGGGGATCTGGTGGACATCTGGACGTATATAAAATAACCTATTCTAGAAAGGGGGAGAGTATAAGTATATAAATTAAAATTCTAAACACTAGATAAAACACTGTTCCTGTTTTAAGTGTTTATGTTTAAATTATATATAAACTATTAATCGAATCTATCATTTATATTAGAATTGTTATAAACAGAGATTTGGCTATGTATGTTTTGAATGATGGGTGGGTCTTTTCGACAGCACGTGTCTATGTATAGAGGGTGTTAACCACAACACAGGAAATAGGTAGGTCCCAACTCCCATGGACGGAGACACGGACAGTAGACATGATCCAGGGGATCTGAATCTAAAATAATTCCGTATCGATTGGAAAAATTCGTTGTTTATATAAATATATTTAAAACTAGTTTTGTCTGTGTAGTAACTTAAAATATTGTTTTAAGCTACTCGTATTGTTTATACAAAACGATAGTCTCGAGAGATATTTTTATACATTTCAACGTGTGGATATGATTTTTGTATGAGGAAATATGAATTGTTTATTTTCTAATAAATAACACGATAGGAAATTTTTGCATATCATTCGAATTTGAATTAAAATATGCTCAATCAGAAGTTACAAATTGCCTTTTTTTTTTCTTTCTTTTCTTTTCTTGCATATTATAAAACATTTTAAAGATTTTAAACAGTTTAGTCGATAATTACTTAAATTACACTTGAGGGTGAAAGGTCATTGACTGTAAGGGTCAATCACAATTTACGATTTTTCCTCCCCTCTCTCTCTCTCTCTCTCTCTCTCTCTCTTTCTCTCTTCTTTCCTCATTAACTATTAAAGTCCAGAAACTCGTTTCGGAAAAAGGGGGATTTATTTTTAAAACCAACGACAAATATAGCTTAGTAAATGGGGAAAAGTGGGACGACGGGTCACTCACCCTCCCCATTTCATCCCCCATTCCCTTCTACTGCATTCAGCGAACTTTGACCTGGAATCATTTACCGAGTTGTGCGAAGTGTAATTGAACTACCGAATTTTTATTGATTATTCTCACACCACGCATTATTTGACGCGTGTTTTTTATTTCTCCCCGAAATCACGCCGATCCTTCCTCTTGGTAAGGTGCATAAACCTGTGACGTAATAGAAGCGAATAGAGAACACATCGTGGTTGCTCCTAGC